GTCCTCAGGAGGAGGGAGGGTTGGGTGAGATAACGAGCACCATCTGGGCCCATGGAGAGGACACATGGAAGGCGCTCAGGGAGTGTCAGGGGATGCACAGTCACTGACACATGTCGGGATGACTTATTTAGACTGATTTCTTCCCACTGGACTCTCTTTTGCATCTCTGTGGATTCTCACACCCCCAGCCAAAACTCACCCCACTGGCTCAGACACACTCCCTGTTGCTCACTTTCCTGGAGTCCAGAGCCTGAACCAGGCAGCAGGTAAGAGGACAGAGTGAATGCCTTTTGTTTCATTAATATTTTCCTTCACCTGGTGATTTCTCCCTGCTGTCTACCAGGTCATTTGTTTCTCCCACACCTTTTCTTTCTTATTCTCCTCATGTCTCTAATTTTTTTTCCCATTTCAATGGACCAGAACAGTCATGATACTGTGACATTCAATCTCTCCCAAATCCCTATATAATGTTTTTCCTTTAAATTAACATGTACAGATATATGCATTTATATCATTTGTCCTATTATGTGTGACTATGTATATCTGGTGTATATACTACATAGGGTGTATATAGATGCAGTAGATCATATAATGATGCAACTTTTGTAAATTCTCTAGCTTTAGCCTTCCTGATTCTTTCCTCTCATCAGCTGCTGTCACCTCTGTCTGGTCTCACCTCGGTGCCACATGGGCTGCCACCCTGCCAGGCCCTTCTATTCCCATCTCCTATTTGAACGCAACTCTGATTTAACTTTGATTCTTGTAATCTCTGCTCTCCCCAAAGCATAGGCTACACACACTGCTATTTCCTTGCCTTTGCCTTATCTACCCGGAAGCGATTTGTGTTTCTTAATCCTGTGTTTCTTGAATATTGTTGTGAATTGGCAATGCCTTTGACTCCTGGCAATCTTACCGTTGCTCAGTAATGTGGGAAAGATCAAGAAAAAAGAAAATATTAAAGTGACTCTATTGGCTTCCCCTCACCCTTTGGACTTTCTTCTCCAAGGCCACTTTCCTGATTTGATGTCCACTGGGTGGAAGAGAAAGTCACAGTAAGAT